AGATTCATCCCGGCTACAGAATGGTGAGACTTGCATCTTGGAGGGTGGGATATACCTTGAGTTCCCCAGTCCTGCTTTATTTAGTTAAATGACATTCAGTGAGTATTATAAGCACAATATAGAGTGTTGGGAGAAGTATTCAAATAAAGAAAATGACACTTAGAAATCCACTCCAATAGACTCCCTCAAAAATAAGGGCAGCATTATTGTCAGCAAAATTTTAAACAAAAAACAAAAAAAAACCTTTTGTAAGAAAAAGAAACTTGTCATCACATATGACATTATTACTTAACCAGACCTGAATCATTTTGGTGCTGCGGGCTTGTTTTTAAATATCTGTGTACCTCTAAACAATGTCGATTTATGTCTCCCAACCTGGTGCTCGGGGTCCAAAGAGTCACAAGCAAGATTTATTTATAGAACACATTTCAAAACAGCAGCTTTTTCTTCTTTCCACAAAACCAGAAGCCCGAAAAAGTAAAAACACAAACATACTGACTTACACAAAAAGTAAATATGGAGGGTAATATTACATTAAGTCTATATTATGTCTTGAGCCATTCTTTTTTCTTTGCTTTGTTTCCCCTGAGCTGGGCTTCTTGTAGATTTTTTTTAAGTAACAATAGTTCTCCTAGAGCTTGAGCAATAATTCTCCAGACTTTCCTGAAGGTCTTTCAAAGTTTTTCTTTGGGCACTGGCTGTTTTTTTCACTCACATTCAGTCCAGTCCATGTACCTTATTTTCCTTTATTTGTCCAGTTGGCCAATAGGGGAGCAACAGTTACAACAAATACAAATACCTGATCAATTTCAGAGGAATTTCTGTTTGTTTATTAACCCACTTAAAATTGACCTGTGAGGATTCAAGCATATCGAAGTAACTCACTTATTATTTGTTCCAGTTTCAGTGGGGGAATAAAATGCCAAACATTCACTTAGACAGATATAATATGGTATTTATCACCAACAGGTGATTCCCATAGAGTTAGCTGAATATTTAGCAAATGTGTTTTTAAAAAAATTATAGGAACTGGACAAGTGGTAGACAAAAGAAGAAAAAGCATGCTTAAAAACTGGCAAACTGAATAAAAATGTCTGAGCTTAGAGAAAACTACTATCTGAAATGGCTCCAAGACACTGCTTCTTTGTCAAGGGTAGCAAGCCTAAAAGACTGAAAATCAATATACAACTCCACTGAAAAAAATCCCATCTGACCACTTTAGGAATGAGCTGATATTTTTACTATTAGCATATTTAATGAAATGCATGCAAAATATTTTTATACTATATGAATATTTAGGTCTCAAGCCTAAATTTAGGTATTTTAAGATGATGTCTTCTAAGTTGCATTTTTGCCTTTTCAGTGAGTCTTCATTACTTTTAAAGGGAGAAAACGTGAAAATGTCAAGCCTGAAAATCACATCTAAGTTCTGTTTAAAATTACAATTACATTTACATTTACAATCCCTATTCCACAAATCTCAAATTTTAAAGGCAAGTGAAAAAGGGCTAGAATTTTATTTTGACCCAGAAGAAGTCACAGCTACAGCTGTGGCGTTGTGTTAGAGCAAGCAAAGCAAAGCAAAGTAAGCAGTGCTTTGTTCAGTTTGTTCAGTTCAGGTAAATAAAATAAAAAAAATAGGCAGGCAGAAATTAAAATGTCCCAAAGTGAAAGCAAAGTCTCTGCGTCTACCCTGTATTATACTGCCATCTTGTGGCACAGTCGCTTCTTGCTGTTTAATAAGCTGAGCAGACAAAGGCTCCACAAACTCTTTCAGATTAGTATGAGTATCTCAAACTTACTTTTTCATTAATATTTGTAATCCTCCTGTGAATACTGACAGTTAACCATGTCACACAGTGCTCAAGCCTTTTAATTCAGCTGTAATTTTTATGTATCGATATATTTTATTATGCTTTTTCATCCTTAATCAAGTAGTTGAGCTGCTTTTCTGAGCTCAATAAAAGCTGTTTTGGAGGTATGTATTCCTCACAGGACAGCCACTACAAACATGTTATTTTATAGAATATGATAAATCACTGTAGATAAAACAGAATGTAAACGGTTTAAAATGAGCTCGACATCTTAACATCAGTATTAATCCCTATAACACTAACAGGCATCCTTTTTCATCAGAATAATTACTTTATGTACAATTTGTCTGTAATGCAATCATGCCAAAAAAGAAAATAGACTCTTGAAGGTTCTAATGCTTGTTTTATGCTTGAGCTGTGATAGTGGGAAGGCAGGTAGGCAGGTAGTTATGGGATGCTGAGAGTGTTTGCTGTTGATGGAGGCAGTGTGAAAAATATGTGTTACAGCCGGTCTGTGGGCTACTCTTGTTTGTTGGTCCATCAGCCATCTGCTGAGAACAGCAAAGTGATAATGTGCAAGGATCTGAAGAGGAAATAAGTATTGAAAACTGTCCACCGCAGCCACTGTTTGTACTTTTCATGCTTTAATTTTTTATCTTTAACATTCGTTTTATGCTTCATCCTTTCCCAGTCCGCTGTTGCTCCCTCCTCCATTCCGGCCCATTTGTAAGTCATTCAGCTCTCAATTCAGTGATGTGCAGTTGGAAACACATTAGTGGTGTGTAAAAACCCCTTTTCATCCACTGTACACAGACAGACACATTACTGGGACCATAAATCACGCTTGAGGCTTTACATATCGGGTGATAAGACGAGGTCTTAAAAGCAGGTAAATGCAACCTCAGATGAACGACACATCATTCATTTAACAAAAAATGGAAAAACTACAGATTGTTTGGAAGGGGCTGCCATGGTCTCTAAAAAAGAACACGACATCACAACTTATGTTAGTATCTGAACTGTAACAGCCCTTTGGACAAACAAGACCAAAGTGGAGATGTTTGGCTACGATGCACACAATCGTATTTGGTAAAAAGAGTAAATCAGCACAAACATTAACTGTCAGCATGGCGGTGGAGGAGTGAAGATTTGGGCTTTTTTTGCAGCCACAGGACCTGGGCGCCTTGCAGTCATTGAGTCGCCCATGAGCTCCTCAGTATATCAAAGTATTCTAGAGTCAGATGTAAGGCCGTCTGTCTGACAGCTTGGCTAAGTTCCCAAACACAGCAGCAAATCTATATGAAAATGGCTGAAGAAGAAAAGAATCCAGATTTTGCAGTGGCCCAGTTTAAGTCAAGGTCTCTACCTACTGGAAATGCTATGGTGGGATTTTTAAAAAGCTGTGCAATAACAAATACCTGCTACCCTAAATTACCAACAAAGCACTGTAATAAAGACGAGTGGACCAAAATTCCTCCACATTGAATCAAGACACCAATCGAGTCATACGGAAAACGATTACTTCCAAGTTACTGCTGCTAAATGTGCTTCTCTGAGTTACTGAATCATATACCTCACTCAGTTTTTTTTACAGGTCTAGAAAATCCTGTGAAAAACTTTCCTTTTCACGACTATAAAAGATAAACCCGGTATCAAATTTTAGGTAAAAACGAAGAACTTTTATATGATAACTCAATGCGACCAGCCATCAATCCCACATATTGTACTCCGACGTTTTCTCAAGCAAATGATCAGAAATAGACAAAAACATCCAGGGCACCGCTGCTTTCTTCTGTTACTTTTAAACATAAGCAGTTCATTGGTATTGGCACAAATTTAATATTGAAACTATATCCTATGATACTGATGCTTAAATGTAGTCATAGAAAATCATTCTGAGCAAAAATAATATTTTGTTTGTAGATTTTGCCACTTGGAGTGGGTGTGAAATGTATTTTGTTGATGTTTGTAACAGAGCATAAATGTGCTTTTCAGCCCTGAACATTTCATGTGGATATCTCCTGTACTTCAGAGGTTGTGGGGCTAAAAATCCTGGAAAAAAAAATGTTCACCTAACCTTATTTATGTACTTTGTACCTTTTGTAACTCCAGATGTTTTTATAAGGTCAGGATAAGCTGTTGCTTGGCTTCATTGGATACAATAGTAAAGTAGGAGGTCAGGTGAGAATGCTGCCCATCTGAGGTTCCTCTTATAGTTTAATCTTATAGTTCCTGTGTGGACTTACCAGACCTGAAGAGTAATTCACTACAGCTGTCAATTCAGTATTTTTATTTTAGTTGTAGTGGAATACTTTTGGCTGCAGCCTTATTGTCACAGCAGATGGATCCACATATTTGCTTTAGCCCAAACTTTACACCGGTGGCTGGGTTTGTGTCTCCTTCCAGTCTCACACCATGGATCTATTGTGAGTTGAAGGTTTCAGTTTAACAGTTCATACTATTTTACAGCTTAATTTTGAAGACCGCATTGTAAACCTCAGGATCCTCATTACGGTCTAAAGATTTGTCACAGTGCAAGGATTCCTAAACTGTGGGCTGGGGCCCCCTGGTGGACCATAAAGGTACTGCAAGCGGGCAACAGCCAAGTTATATATTTACATAAACATATTTATTTATATAAAAACTTAATCAAAGGTGGTTAGTTTATGATATTATTCATTACTTGACCTAAATTTACTGCTTTTGTATTAAAGTTTGTGGCAGGTGGGTCACACGGGCTGGTGCTATTACAGTTGTCGTACCTAAGCTTTGAAAGAGTCTTCCTTTGTCATTCAGGTCGGCTGAATCACTCAGATACTCAGCAGGTGAATTTTAAACACCTGCTGAAAACTGATTTTCTTAGCTTGACTTTAACTATTGAAACTTCAAGCAATGGTTCACACTAATATTTAAAATCTGTATTTATGAACAGTATTTATAAACACGGCTGTAGGATTTATGTATCGATAACAAGAAAAAAGATTGGAACGCTATTGAGAAAACTAATCAGCTTTTTACATGCATGTTTAAAAACATATGAATTTGAAACATCTTAAATTACATGATTCAAACATTTTTGTGCTACTTACTCATGACTAATATGTCGTAAAGTTTCTGAATATTTAAAAATCATTCTGAAAATATCATTTTCAATATCACTGAATATTTAAAAGACAAACAGTTAAACAGTTTTTCATCAGAGGTTTTATTTAGAGCATAGCCAAACTTGACATTTCCAAGGGTTTAGAACTGAACAGCCAAAATGACAAAACATTTGTATTTGGAATGCTTTAAAGAAGACATTTTAGTCAAATATTTCCTTTTTAACTAATGCCTTCAGGTCCCTTTCAGTACTCCTCTCCTTCCTCCTCTCCCTCACCCTCAATGGAGTCGACTCCCACCTCCTCATAATCCTTCTCCAGAGCTGCCATGTCCTCTCTGGCCTCGGAGAACTCTCCCTCCTCCATACCCTCACCTACGTACCAGTGAACAAAGGCACGCTTAGCGTACATCAGATCGAACTTGTGGTCGAGCCGAGCCCAGGCCTCTGCAATAGCAGTGGTGTTGCTCAGCATGCACACAGCCCTCTGGACCTTGGCCAGATCTCCACCAGGAACCACAGTGGGGGGCTGGTAGTTGATGCCAACCTTGAAACCAGTGGGGCACCAGTCCACAAACTGGATGGTGCGTTTGGTTTTGATGGTGGCAATGGCAGCATTGACATCTTTGGGCACCACATCACCACGGTACAAAAGGCAGCAGGCCATGTACTTGCCGTGACGAGGGTCACATTTCACCATCTGATTGGCTGGCTCAAAGCAGGCGTTTGTGATCTCAGCCACTGAGAGCTGCTCGTGGTAAGCCTTCTCTGCAGAGATGACTGGAGCATAGGTGGCCAGGGGGAAGTGGATACGGGGGTATGGCACCAAGTTGGTCTGGAACTCTGTCAGGTCAACATTGAGGGCACCATCAAAGCGGAGGGAAGCAGTGATGGAGGACACAATCTGACTGATCAGCCTGTTCAGGTTGGTGTAAGTAGGACGCTCGATATCGAGGTTCCTACGGCAGATATCGTAGATGGCCTCGTTATCTACCATGAAGGCACAGTCAGAGTGCTCTAGGGTGGTGTGGGTGGTCAGGATGGAGTTGTAGGGCTCCACCACAGCGGTGGACACCTGGGGAGCTGGGTAGATGGAGAACTCCAGCTTGGACTTCTTGCCGTAGTCGACAGACAGACGCTCCATCAGCAGGGAGGTGAAACCAGAGCCGGTGCCACCGCCGAAGCTGTGGAACACCAGGAAGCCCTGAAGACCAGTGCACTGATCAGCCTGAGGACAGAGAGGAGATGACAACCAGGCATGAGTTACTTCATTCAATAATTTAATTCGTGTATACATTTTATACTAGCTGCTTTGAATTCACCCACCAGTTTGCGGATCCTGTCCAGAACCAGGTCAATGATCTCTTTGCCGATGGTATAATGTCCACGGGCGTAGTTATTGGCAGCATCCTCCTTGCCTGTGATCAGCTGCTCAGGGTGAAACAGCTGGCGGTAGGTACCAGTGCGTACCTCATCTATGCAAACAAGGACATTACATTAGCTACACTTCAAAGGTATTTTCATGTTAATTTGCTTGAATTATTGTTCAGCGAGCGGTGATGACACTTACCGATGACAGTGGGCTCCAGGTCCACAAAAACAGCTCTGGGGACGTGCTTTCCAGCTCCAGTCTCGCTGAAGAAGGTGTTGAAGACGGAGGGATGCTTTACCTTTAAATGAAAAGTGGGATTTAAAACTGTGTGGCTGATTTTGCTATATAGATATTCAATTTCTTGCAGTGTAGTGTGGGGGGTTTTAGTCCCAGCTTGAGATGGGGAGATGCTCTGACGCTTTTCAATTGGGGGACGTGGCGGGCAGACCGAACAAAAGAGGTTTTCTGGGGTGGACAGAGGGAATAATGGAGACTTCAGTCCAGCCGGTGACTCTGCGGTATTTTATTCTCTCACTGGCATGACAAAAGCCCCGGTCATCACTAGTCGTGACCGCGACGGGCTGTAAGGGCACGGTACTGGCAGGGAGAATGGCATTAAGCTGTATCAGCTTAAAAAGAATGCCCCACACCCACAGTAACCCAATCCTTAGGGAAAACTGGATGAAAATGCCCTGTCAGCGCGGCAAGCCATTAAAAATGCATGCGAGTAACGGACTCTCCCGGGCTGATAGTTACCGCACTGATGCACAGCCAGCCACCTAGCAGATGTACAGCCGGCAACCTAGTAGTATTTTCTGTTATAACGGTTTAGTTTCAGTGATGAGTCGAAATCAGTGGCATTAACATATAGACAGACCTAACACTGAATTAAAATGATCAATTCTCTGATGGCAAAGATGGCGTAACTTGGGGGGGCGCAAAAACCGCATTTTGGGGCTAAACCGGCAAACTTTTGAGCCATTTTCCCACATTTGACTGGTGGTTCAACGCATGCAGTTATTATGCTGTAAAATCAATACCCGTGGGCAGGCCCGGCCCTAACCAATCTGGCGCCCTAGGCAAGATTTTAGGTGGCGCCCCCCTACATCGGCAGTGTAGTGTATGTACTCACAAGAAACCGAATAGCTTTGTCTTTGACCTTTTTTTTTTTACTTAAAGAAAGCAAATTCACAATCAGAATAATTAACAAGATAAAAAAATATATGAATAAATAAATGAATACAAAAAATAAAAAATGAATATATGAAATACAATAAATTTTACATACATAAACACAATAAAACGTGTCAACAAGTTGGATAAAATAAATTAAAAATACAATATAAATAAGGCAACAGGAACAGCTACTCGCTTGGGGTGCTGAGTGAGCGACCTTGAGCTGCGCATCATGGCTGGGTTGTGCTGCTGATGCTGCATCACTGGTGGGTTGTGCTGCTGAAGTGGAGGCAGCAGCGGTAGATGTGGTAGATGGCCCAGGGGTGGGATTTAGATGTAATGTTGTAACAAATAATATTTCTATTAAATAAGCTTTACTTTGCATTTTAATTAACGTGGGATTATTTTTTGTATTTAGAAATAATAGTACCAACTTTTTTTTTTTTTTTCAACATTTGTGGCACTGGCGTGGCGCCCCCTGATGGACGGCGCCCTTAGCATTTGCCTTTACGGCCTATGCCACGGGCCGGCCCTGCCCGTGGGCATTACCACTATGGCTGCCTTGCTTCCTTGACTAAACTTTTCTCCTTTAACGGCTCAACCTTTTCTAATATTCACGCTTCCCAACGAATTTCAACAGCCCCGACGTCATCGGTTGCCAGAGTGAAGGGTTTGTCGCATAGCAACGAGGTTCCAGACACAATCCAGTGCACCTGTTGGGCGGGAAAAAAATAAGACTAGTTGTTGCTAATAAAAGAACATGTTTGGGTCAGTAAAAGTGACTCTCACCCAAAACAACTGAATGAAGAAAAACACTTTGAACAGTTTTGTCCTTTGTTTTGTTTGCATAAATAAATTATTTTATTTTTGAATAAATAAATAAATAAATAAATGAATACATTTACAGCTAAATTAATCCCCCCCTATCGCTTTATTTTCTTCTCTCCACAGCGTGAGTGTATCTCATCCACGTTGGTCAGGCTGGTGTCCAGATCGGCAATGCCTGCTGGGAGCTTTACTGCCTGGAACATGGGATCCAGCCGGACGGACAGATGCCCAGTGACAAGACCATTGGAGGAGGAGACGATTCCTTCAACACCTTCTTCAGCGAGACTGGAGCTGGAAAGCACGTCCCCAGAGCTGTTTTTGTGGACCTGGAGCCCACTGTCATCGGTAAGTGTCATCACCGCTCGCTGAACAATAATGTAGAAATTAAAACATCTTTAAAGCTAAATGTAATGTTGTTTGCATAGATGAGGTCGCATGGTACCTACCGCCAGCTGTTCACCCTGAGCAGCTGATCACAGGCAAGGAGGATGCTGCCAATAACTACGCCCGTGGACATTAACCATCGGCAAAGAGATCATTGACCTGGTTCTGGACAGGATCCGCAAACTGGTGGGTAAATTACAGCAGCTGTATAATTATCGTTCAGAATTAAATTATTGAATAAAGTAACTCATGGCTGGTTGTCATCTCCTCTCTGTCCTCAGGCTGATCAGTGCACTGGTCTTCAGGGCTTCCTGGTGTTCCACAGCTTCGGCGGTGGCACCGGCTCTGGTTTCACCTCCCTGCTGATGGAGCGTCTGTCTGTCGACTACGGCAAGAAGTCCAAGCTGGAGTTCTCCATCTACCCAGCTCCCCAGGTGTCCACCGCTGTGGTGGAGCCCTACAACTCCATCCTGACCACCCACACCACCCTAGAGCACTCTGACTGTGCCTTCATGGTAGATAACGAGGCCATCTACGATATCTGCCGTAGGAACCTCGATATCGAGCGTCCTACTTACACCAACCTGAACAGGCTGATCGGTCAGATTGTGTCCTCCATCACTGCTTCCCTCCGCTTTGATGGTGCCCTCAATGTTGATCTGACAGAGTTCCAGACCAACTTGGTGCCATACCCCCGTATCCACTTCCCCCTGGCCACCTATGCTCCAGTCATCTCTGCAGAGAAGGCTTACCACGAGCAGCTCTCAGTGGCTGAGATCACAAACGCCTGCTTTGAGCCAGCCAATCAGATGGTGAAATGTGACCCTCGTCACGGCAAGTACATGGCCTGCTGCCTTTTGTACCGTGGTGATGTGGTGCCCAAAGATGTCAATGCTGCCATTGCCACCATCAAAACCAAACGCACCATCCAGTTTGTGGACTGGTGCCCCACTGGTTTCAAGGTTGGCATCAACTACCAGCCCCCCACTGTGGTTCCTGGTGGAGATCTGGCCAAGGTCCAGAGGGCTGTGTGCATGCTGAGCAACACCACTGCTATTGCAGAGGCCTGGGCTCGGCTCGACCACAAGTTCGATCTGATGTACGCTAAGCGTGCCTTTGTTCACTGGTACGTGGGTGAGGGTATGGAGGAGGGAGAGTTCTCCGAGGCCAGAGAGGACATGGCAGCTCTGGAGAAGGATTATGAGGAGGTGGGAGTCGACTCCATTGAGGGTGAGGGAGAGGAGGAAGGAGAGGAGTACTGAAAGGGACCTGAAGGCATTAGTTAAAAAGGAAATATTTGACTAAAATGTCTTCTTTAAAGCATTCCAAATACAAATGTTTTGTCATTTTGGCTGTTCAGTTCTAAACCCTTGGAAATGTCAAGTTTGGCTATGCTCTAAATAAAACCTCTGATGAAAAACTGTTTAACTGTTTGTCTTTTAAATATTCAGTGATATTGAAAATGATATTTTCAGAATGATTTTTAAATATTCAGAAACTTTACGACATATTAGTCATGAGTAAGTAGCACAAAAATGTTTGAATCATGTAATTTAAGATGTTTCAAATTCATATGTTTTTAAACATGCATGTAAAAAGCTGATTAGTTTTCTCAATAGCGTTCCAATCTTTTTTCTTGTTATCGATACATAAATCCTACAGCCGTGTTTATAAATACTGTTCATAAATACAGATTTTAAATATTAGTGTGAACCATTGCTTGAAGTTTCAATAGTTAAAGTCAAGCTAAGAAAATCAGTTTTCAGCAGGTGTTTAAAATTCACCTGCTGAGTATCTGAGTGATTCAGCCGACCTGAATGACAAAGGAAGACTCTTTCAAAGCTTAGGTACGACAACTGTAATAGCACCAGCCCGTGTGACCCACCTGCCACAAACTTTAATACAAAAGCAGTAAATTTAGGTCAAGTAATGAATAATATCATAAACTAACCACCTTTGATTAAGTTTTATATAAATAAATATGTTTATGTAAATATATAACTTGGCTGTTGCCCGCTTGCAGTACCTTTATGGTCCACCAGGGGGCCCCAGCCCACAGTTTAGGAATCCTTGCACTGTGACAAATCTTTAGACCGTAATGAGGATCCTGAGGTTTACAATGCGGTCTTCAAAATTAAGCTGTAAAATAGTATGAACTGTTAAACTGAAACCTTCAACTCACAATAGATCCATGGTGTGAGACTGGAAGGAGACACAAACCCAGCCACCGGTGTAAAGTTTGGGCTAAAGCAAATATGTGGATCCATCTGCTGTGACAATAAGGCTGCAGCCAAAAGTATTCCACTACAACTAAAATAAAAATACTGAATTGACAGCTGTAGTGAATTACTCTTCAGGTCTGGTAAGTCCACACAGGAACTATAAGATTAAACTATAAGAGGAACCTCAGATGGGCAGCATTCTCACCTGACCTCCTACTTTACTATTGTATCCAATGAAGCCAAGCAACAGCTTATCCTGACCTTATAAAAACATCTGGAGTTACAAAAGGTACAAAGTACATAAATAAGGTTAGGTGAACATTTTTTTTTCCAGGATTTTTAGCCCCACAACCTTTGAAGTACAGGAGATATCCACATGAAATGTTCAGGGCTGAAAAGCACATTTATGCTCTGTTACAAACATCAACAAAATACATTTCACACCCACTCCAAGTGGCAAAATCTACAAACAAAATCTTATTTTTGCTCAGAATGATTTTCTATGACTACATTTAAGCATCAGTATCATAGGATATAGTTTCAATATTAAATTTGTGCCAATACCAATGAACTGCTTATGTTTAAAAGTAACAGAAGAAAGCAGCGGTGCCCTGGATGTTTTTGTCTATTTCTGATCATTTGCTTGAGAAAACGTCGGAGTACAATATGTGGGATTGATGGCTGGTCGCATTGAGTTTCAT